CATGTTCCCTCACCGCACACCCATGCCTCCTCACACCCCACATACCCACACATTTACGCACCCACAGTCCCCCACAATATAGAAGATAGACTTCATTTTAAGCTAGTATATACAATCACCTCTATGTACACTACACAAACGCATGTAAACAAGGGCAAAAATATTTTTTTAAATCAAATTAATGAATGTTGTAGATGTTTGCTTTTTAAAATATAATTTGGTATTTTTTCTGGTTTCAAGATGGCAAAATCCCTAGTTGAAAGGAGTGCTTCTGGGGGCAAGGGGAGGAACTTCTGGTGGCAAAGTTCAGGGGTTAGGGAGCAGAACTTTCAGTCCTAAGATGATGACCAGGGGGTGGGGCACATGTGGCTCTCAACACCTTTCCAAAACTGGGTAAGTGGCCCTCTGCCTGAAATAATTGCCCACCCCTGCTTTAATCGGTGCTCAAGACTGGTGCCCCCTTCGCCCACCCATATTTACACTATTGTCTATTTCTATATAAATTGAAAACCCAGTCCAGCCCTGGGCTTTGCTAAACTAGAAATGAAAGTGATTACAGTTGCACTCTTGGTAAAAGTGAAGCACATTGTATTTTTATTTCTAAGCATAACATTCTAAAGAACTGCTATAGGCAAAGTGACCAAAAACATTAGACAGTCACGGTAGCTTTCTTCTATCCTAGCTAAAACAAGTACTTTTCCTTTTATCCTGCATTTTTATATGCTGTTACAACTTTCTTCATGATAGCTAATGCCTTGCCCCTCTGTCACCTTTACAGAGGCCTGTATCAGAGCCATCATCAATCTGCCAGCACCTCCTTGTGATCACTTAAAGAAATGGCTGTGCTTTATATTTGAAAGGGGCAATAGTGCAGCCCACCAGGATGGGGGATATGCATATGCCAGCAGGAAAAATGTAATAGAATATATTGGGCCCAGTCAGGGCTGACCCTAAGGGGTTGTGGGGCCCCCTTAACATTTCTATATAATTAAAAAGAAGTTCATATAATTAAAAAAAAAACAACCTCACCGATCATGATCAGTGTGGCACCACCTATATTGTGAAATCCATTGGGAGGGCAGGGGCAGGGCTGCGACTTGCGGCTCAGCCATCACTGGCTGTGGGGCCAGGGTCAGGGCTGAGAGATATGGGTGGCGCAGGCTGCAGAGAAGGATGGAGGCGGTAGCCCTGGTGCTGGCACTGAGGGTGCTGCCGCTGGCTCAGCCCACCCTGGGGGTCTGCCTGCAGCACGGGACAGCTGAGGTAAGGGCCGTGCCGGGCGGGCTGGGCTGGGCTGGGTTGGTGGGCACTTTTGCAGCAGGGGGCCCTGAGCCGAGCCATGGTGCCCAGTGCCTGGCAACCTCGCAGGGCTCTAGGCCAGGCTATGCTGTGGAGCAGGCACTAGGCAGCACCTCTGCCACAGCCCTCAGAGCTGGGAGCAGGGCTTACCTGCTGTTACTATGTTTTGTTGATGGTTTCAACAACCCTAAACCAGACTTTTAGCAGTCCTCATCTTCCTAAAAACTAATGCACAATGTCAGGAAAACAGGAGATGAAATTGAACTTAATTCTCTTTTACTCCCTCTCTGTGTGACACTATATCTGAATTTACCCAGGTCTGGTCAAGATAATTTAGTCCTCAAAACTCTCTAATTGCTTGATCTTTATTTCAAATTCACAACAGTTTTCATTCACCATTCTTCAAGACTGCCTATAGTCTTTTTCAGTAATTGATTTAATTATTGGTCTCTTTCTTCATAGTCCTTCATATTCCTTCTGTCTGGCAGGTAACTGGAGATGGGGCCTCATGAAAAGTTTACACCTAGATTCTAGCTTTCTCACATAGTTTATGGGATATTGGTGTTTGAAGGCTTGTTTTGGTTATAGGAACAGAATACAGCTGCAAAAAAAGAAAAAAATAGGGTAACATTGAATCTCCTTTTTGCCCTCTGAAATAATTAAAAATTTTCTGTTTTTAGAGTCTCAAAAATCCACTGTCAGGTAGTATTTAGATGTAGTAACGTAGATTTGCCTACACTGTAATTTCAGTGATGTCCATGGCTCTCCGTACAGTTATACCATAGTGAATCCAGCCAAGTATACTTTCTTTTCTTTTCAGTTTTCCTTAGGACTGAAACTGTCTTAAATGCCAATTCTAGACAATTAATTTTGCATCTGTAAGGTTGCAAGCCCCAGCCGCCAACCCTGCTGCACTCTCTCCCTCACCATGGGGGCCTCAATCTGTCCCCTGTCTCCCCACCACACATTGCCTGTGCCTCCCCTGCCAGACTTACCTCCACTGCTGCCTGGCTGTATTTCTGGCCATGCACATGTGTGCGCACATGCACGTGGTGCCCCCTGCGTCCACTCCTCCCAGACCCAAGCAGCTCCTTGCAGGCTAAAACTGTGCATTGTTCTCTCCTAAAGGAGAAAATCCACATTTTTATGCATTTATCCACAGCAAATAGAAAACCCAGATCCCTGGTAATGATGCACCATACAACATGCACCCCCTTTTTCAGAAGCCTATATCCGCCTAAGAGTACACCTTACAAAATGACATGAGAATAGTGACTTGCTAGAGCTGCCTGGTCTAAGACAGCGCAGTCAAACTGATGGCCCATAGACCTCCTGAAACATTTGAAGTGTTAAATTGCAGCCTGGGGGATTTGCTGGTGTGGCTGCTAGAGCTGCTGTACTGGTGTGGCATCAGAACCTAAGGAGTCAGTGCTGTTATCACTTGCTTGATGCCCCCTCCCGGTTTCTTTACCTGATGGTAAATTTGAGACCTTCAGTTGCTGTTGGTTACTAAAATTGGTAGCAAGGGAAAACGTGGGGACAGGTGACAGAAGTAGTCACTCCTGGTTTAAGATGTAGGTACAGCCCTTGTTTAAGATACAGAACTCAGGATGTGGAGCCATGAACTGCCAGTATAGTTCTCTCACCAGTCATTGTGTGCCCTGGGCACGCCTGTCAACCTCCTAGGCTCAGTATCACTTCACTGATGGGGAAACTTAAGCTATAAAGCTAGTCTCTCTCCCTTGTGCAGATTTGGAGCATAAGTGCATAAAATTGCCCATATAGCAAAATTCATTATTCAAAAAAATTAGTCTTAAATAACAGATTTCCCTCTCTCACCATCTGTACATACAGATCATTTGCTCAGCACAGCACATAGCAATGCAGACCTTTGACCTAAAGAGTTGTATTTTCTTCTTTGAAGAGCTTCCAATCTACAGCTACTAGAATAATATAGAGCATTACAACAAAGAAACAGAGTGACTAATGATCGTTTTAACTGGAATGTGTCAAGGGTCCACCAGGTGTAGCACAAAATCATTAGACAAGATGAGAGAGAAAAATGAATGGCTGAGATGGACATCAGTCTCTGGAGGTCTCACTTATAGATGATACCTTCTCTTGTGTAAACTCTGAGGGTCTGTGACCTGGCCATCAGCTCCTTGTAGGCTGTCCTTTGTGGAGCAACTAAACTCACCTCAATCTTGAGGTAACAGGAAACTCATGAGTAATGACAACACAAAACAATCAGCATCCACTGATGGGCCCCTGGGTCTTGTCTCCCAGGCCCACAGGCCCCTGGCTGGGGCCTTTTACCTTCACCCATTTAAGAACTACCTTGCAGGCTCAGCAGCTCCCTGCTGTGCCCCTGGCAGTCGTCGTGTGGGGCCCTCCTCTGGGTCCCCTTCCTCTCCCACCTTGGCCCCGTCTCACCTGAGGCTGGGCTCTCCGGTTCACTCCTGCTGGTGCTCCTGCCACTTGCCTTGGTGGCCCCACATGGCTCTCCCCCTTGCGTAGGCCCCGGGCTGTCGTAGCCCCGTGGCCTGACACTGATGCCTGTCTCACCACCCAGTGCAGTCTCTGGCTTCCGCCCCTACTTAAGGGCTCCCTGCCAGCATGGTTTTTCCGTGGCGCTTGGCCCGTTTCTCTTGGCCCCAGTGCCGCACACCTCTCTCTTACCACGTTCAGTGGTGCGTTCTCTGCCTCTTCCTGGGACTCCTCCAGGGTGTGCTGCTGCCTTTTGGTGGTATTGCTGGGCCTTCCTCCCAGAGTGCCCCCTGGGTGTGCCGCAGCCTGTCTTGTGCAGTGCTCCATGGCGCTCCCTGGTTCTTCCCAGAGAGGCTCCTCAGTGTGCTGCTGCTTCTCCTGTGCTGCTCTCCATGGCACTTCCCAGCCCTCCTCCAGCAGCATCCCACAGCGTTCCCCTGCCACTATGCTCCAGCTTCCCCATGCTCTACCTCCAGCTGGTCTCCCAGCTGCTTTTTCATCCACCCACTCTTCCCTCTGGCCCTGCCTTCTCTATCCGCTGATTTGCAAGCTCAGGCAGTCCCGAAAATAGTGTGCCTGACTCTGCCATCTTGGCGTCTCCCTGCAACTGCCACTCATTACTTCCCCTGTAGTGAGTGATGGGGAGAGTCAGGGTGGGCTCTCTCTTCCCCTTTCACAGGGAGTAAACAAAGAATATAACCTTCACCCCTCCCAACATACCACATAGAATATAAAAAAAACATTGAAACCTATACTTCTTATACATTAAAGGCAAATTTATCTTTCTGCAATGGATTCCATGCCCTTGGATTTTCTCTGTGGAAATGGGAACATATTCAGTGTTTATATAGGTTTTCCATGTGTGTGTAGAAAACAATTTTTGTGGGGGTTTTAATACCTTTTTCCAGTAACATATTCTTACTATTAATATGTTAACATTTGTCAACCCTTACCCCACATCCTTATATATACAGTGTCTTTTATTCAGTATAAAAGGAAAAACTGGTAATCACAGATTGCATTTCATAGTAATGGCTGGCAAATACTTTTTAGTTACAACCACTGAGTATATGTATGCCTAATTTCTTGGAAGAGCTGTCCAGACCTGTTTGAGTTATGACCTTCCCTAATAGTGTACAGTAGCACACATTGTTGTTCTTAAATAAATAACCAATTTCTTTTCCTTTTCCCCAACCCCTTGTTTTCTTTTGCAGCCTACACTCTGGATAATGTCAATGTACAGGGATATTTTGTCTATTCTTTTAACGACAGGACTGCTCCTAAATATGGCCTCTATCGTTACATTGCAAATCAGTATGAAACAAAGCCTTCCATGAAACATTACAGAGAAATAATTGACAATAATGGTTTTCCCAGTTCAGAAACTCCTGAAAGATGGTGCCCAGAAGAGCTTGCTTTATGCCCTGAATGCAGCTTTTTCCGAACCAGAAAATCTTTATTAGCCTTTATCTCCTTTATATTTTTTGCTTTCATTGTTACCATATTCTTCATTATTTACCACTCCAGGAGAGATGAAAGAAGGTATAAATAATGCTGCTGCTTCAGCTACAGCACTGACTACTATGTCACTTGCATTCCTTTGGGAACTCTCAAATAATTATATAGCAATGTTGTAATCACTTCAGCACTAGGGAGCCCTTTGCACTGCCTAATGCTGTGAAACATTAAAGCTGAAAATGAATTGTGAACACAGGAAATCCTTTTCTGGGTTTTAGTATATTTGGTTTGTGACCTAGATTCTAGTGGTCAAATTTATCTCAACTTCAACTGGAGACCTTTCTTTGAGCAGATTATTTTTCTTTATAGGCAAATGCATTGCTAACCAAGGCCTATATTAGTTGAACCGTGAAGACACTAACCAATTAATCCATTTGGACGTAAATTGCTTTTTGTGGAGTAATAGAAAAATCTAGATGCCAAGTTCTCAGGAGAAAGCCTGATGAGAAAGATAATAAGCTATCTTCCTGGTTAGATTTTACCCAAGTATCACCTGACTAAAACCAACATTCAGCTGTAATATAGAAGAAGACTAAATAGAATTAGACTAAGTAACTAGACATCACAAAAGGAAAAAAATAGTTCTGTTGCAAAGCATAAGTCAGGAAGTAAGGACATCAGGATTCTGTTTTTGCTGTGCTAGTGACTTTGAGAGGTTGGCTTCTGGCTTCGCATTCCTTACCCACATTGTATCAGTTGGTGTTGCCTACCTCCCATGATGCAGTGTGTACTTTTTTGTTTCTGACCTAAACCAATCATTGGAAAAGAGCAGCAAAGTGAATTGGGGCATGTTTTGAGGGCAGAAGAGCTGGCCCCTGGCAAGGAAGAAGGGCTCATGCCTCGGAGATGGGGAAGGGCTAGGGAGGGATCTTGTTCTATTTCAGCTGGTGGACAAAGAGCAGGAACACCATGGAACTATAGTGTGCTTCCCAATGGCAGATGGAAAAGCTGAATAGATTACTTCTGCCCCTGGTATCAGGAAACTGTATACCTGACAATGGGGGCAGGGCTATTACAGCATTTAGTATCCAGAAACTTTCACTCCTACTTGTTGTCTTCTCCTAACATTTAATGAATAAACACAGAAATTAGCCGCTCCCTAGATTCAAGTAGGTTAGGGAAATCTGAGTTGAGCTGAGGAAGATGGCTTTAAATTTAAGTGAGCCTAGACCTGGAGGTTTAATGCCTTTATATTGCATATACATTTCACACCAGTATTCTGGTATCCTGATACCTTGTTTGCCAAGCATTTAAGTTTTGGACCATCTATTTGTGGAGCTTATGCATTAAATCTCTGAGAACTTGACCCAGCTCTTATGGGAATCTTTTTGCTGACTGTAACACCGGGGTAGGCAAAATGGTGGATCTGGCCAGCAGCCAGACTCCATTTCCCAGCACCCCTGCCCACATGGCTGGGGCTGATTTCCATGGAGACCCCAGCAGCAGTTGTACTGTGATAGTGCAAGGCTGGGGTTTCCATGGAGACCAGTCCCAGCAGCGCTGGCATTGTGGGGAGCTGCTGAGATCTTGCAGTGGTGACAGAATAGTCTGGAAGCAGGGCAGAGCTGTGATCTGCAGCCTGCATGCTCCAGGGAGGCGTGTGCAGGCTGCAGATCGCTGCTGTGCCCTGGCTCCTTGCAGCGGTGTCAGTGTGGTCCAAAGCTGGGACAAAGCCACAATCCACTGCCTGCACACCCCTGCAGGCTGCAGATCGTGGCTTGGCCCTGGCTCTGGACCATGCTGTCACCACCACAAGATCCCAGTGGCTCTGGAGCAGCTCCTTGCCCCACCGTGTACCCTGCCAGCACTGCTGGGGCTGGTCTCCATGAAAACCCCAGTCTTGTGCTATCACAGTACAGCTGCTGCTGGGGTGTCCATGGAAGCCAGCCCCAGCCATGAGGACAGGGGCTGCTGGGAAATGGGAGTCTGGCTGCTGGCCAGATATGCCATTTTGCCCACCCCGGTGTTACAGTCAGTGGAAGTATTCCAATAAGAGTTGGGTCAAGTTCTCAGAGTTAATGTGTAAGCATTTATGGAAATGGAGTCCACTGCTGGCTGGATCCAGTCTGCGGGCCAGACTTTGTCTGCCCCTGCTGTAACAGGAGTTATGTCAGGCTGGAATAGCACTCAGACCCGAAAGTGTCATTGAAAGTCTGAGCAACTCTGCTCTGTCAACAGAATAAATTAGCCAAATAGTACCAATGTTATTTTTTCATCAACAGAACCATAGAAATCAAGAGATGCAAAATGACTGTGGTCCTTTTCCAATCATACCCATTAATCAATGCAGGAGCCTGCAGTCTGCATAAAATGATGCAGTGACTTCTTTCTCTCTGCTGGCAGTCTTCAACTGTATTTTCATAGATTTCATAGATTTCATAGACATTAGGGCCGGAAGGGACCTCGGAAGATCATCGAGTCCAGCCCCCTTCCCAAGGGCAGGAAGTCAGCTGGAAGTCATACTTGTGTTTTCATGTTGTCACATGTCCACCACTAAAGATGAGTTTTAATCTATTACACTCTGTGTTAGTTACCAAGTTGTGTATCCAGCAGGGTCTAAATTTGCTGTATTGAATGTGAATGTTTATTTACTGTAAATTGAAATTTATATGTGAAATACGTGACTTTTGTTTGGTTAGAAGATTTAGTATCCTAGCACAAAGATTAATATATTTGTCCTTTAGTTCCAGATGTATAATAGCCTGATTTGCACTAATATATATTTTGCTATCAGGATTAATGTGACAAATTCTGGGTAAATGATAAAATAGAGGAAATGTATATTAGCCTGCTAGGATTTGCTGAGGAAAATATATTTGAAAATGTTGTGGTGTTTCTACATTTACCCATTGCCATATGGTACTGCATGGACTGCAAAGAGACAGTTCTCCCTGAATATATGGAGTGCTAAATTGGTTTCTCTGTGTCATTGCAATGAATCACTTTCTAGTTATGATTTTGATAAAGAGCCTACTGCACAGTGTCAAGTGGAATCTCAATAGATAGTAAAGAAAATATAATATTTATTTAATACATACACTGGCTAGATACTACCTATATGCTGTTTTTTCTTTATATAACTATGACAATGCTAGAATAATAAAACAGCAGAACTGATTTTAGAGTAGCATACATAGAATCAAAATATTTAAAACTCATAAAAAATCTAGTGCAGTTCTTACCAGTTTCGTTGAGTGTCTTGTAAGCACTTGTGCTGAGCGCCTCTGAAAATCATCCTTGTTATGCTTAATCCAAAACAGTCTCATTACCATGTTACAATTTTTTCCTGACTGGAAAGTCATTTAAAATGTGTGTGCAACATGCTGACATTTTACTATGAGGGAATAATAGGCAAGTCACTAACATATTGCAGTTTATAGTGGAACCACAGTGGGGGGCCAAGAGCAAAAAAGCATGCCTGTGGTCAGATGGAAGGGAACATACTGCAGGCTTTTCCAGTACTTAGAAGAGACAATTTTGTCATCACTGAATGGAAAAGAATTAGGATTTTTTCATATGGTTCTTACTGGCTATATAATTTGCAAGTAAATGGGGCTTTATTATAAGGAAGCCAGAGAAACATTATCACATAGAAAAAAGGTTTTGTGACTTGTGGATATAATATAGCCCTTTGTATGTTTTCTTTCACAACAGCTATTAAGTATCATTGCAGAACACTGATCTCTTGGTTTTAGATATAATAATATGCAGAAGAATTTTCATCTACCCTACCTATAGAAGTACCTGTGCTGGCTGATTTATAATGAAACAATGGGAGTTTTTTAGACTTTTGAGCCAAATGTAACATCTGCTCACCATAATTACCCTTGGCACTTTCCAAGTGCCCTACCTTATTAAAGCACTGGACAGATTTTAGTGAATTAATTGTACATCTCTATCACAGAGGTGTGGTCTAGGCAAACTATGGGCTGATTTGAATCAGCTGTCCTCCAGACTTGGGAATCTACTTGTTTTTATGTAAGTTAGGTACAGTTGCCAGGCTCAGACTAACTGATTCTGCTTCTCAGTAAGAAAGGGGGCTAGATACCTTTTTTCTCTTTCAGTTATTTATTTGTAAATGGTAATCTAGCATTTTTCTATGAAAAGTTAATCCAAAGGAGCCTGGCCTCTGGCTGAACACCATGCAGATTTCTATCCATCAAAATATGGTAATATTACCTGGGACTTAATATGTATTTTATGAAAAATCACAAGAATATGCATGTAAGACTGCTGCTGCCAATATGCCATAGGAAGTGTATATTTTTGTTTTGATTTTAATTGTGCTAATAAAATGTGCATTACTGATTTGTTTTCTGAAAGCTACATATCTAATAATTGTATTGTAAAATATTAAATTATATTTTTATCCAAAATATCTTGTGATACAGGTGGAAATCTTCTGTTTCATTTCCTGATACAAGCAGTACAGAATGAAAGCTAGAAAGTCTTTGCAAATTAATGTTGTATTTATGTTATAAGGACCTCACTTAGAAATGAAATAAAAATACTGTACAGTCCAAAATGGAAACTTTAATTTCAAACTGTCCAGCTTTCTGTTTATAAGATAAAGGATACAGGTCCTTTAGTATATCAAGAGAAGCTATTGTGATAATATTTATATGTTGTTTTAAGTTATTCTTTGTTAATTTCCCAGTATCACAAAAATAACTGTAATTGTGCTGGTTGACATTATCAGGGATTAACTCTATGTCTAAATTTAAGGTTTTCTGGTTTAGCTATATAATTAACTGCGTGTGTATGTGTATGTGTTTCAACATGGTTACATTGATAAAAAGCCCTATTGTGAAAGATGTTAAAGCACTCTAAAAGTGCTTTGTGCAACAGATTATTTTGCGATGTATACTCCCTATACTGAAGCAAGCTGCAGGTACATCAAATGTGTTTTGTCATTATAGCTACAGCACTAATTATTACATTATTTTTATATGTTTTAAACAAAACCAAAAAGTTAAGGAGAGGGAGGGCATTTGGATAGGTAGGGGTGGGGACACCAGACATAGAATCAAAACATTCAAAACCCAGAAAAAATCTACTGATAGTGATCTTATCAAAATGCCTTACTCCTGTTCTCTTTGTCTAGACACTTTGGAAGAAGAACAATTTTGCTTGAAGACATTATTCAATGAGAAATTTCCTTGTTGAAGAGAAAAAAATCTGTTATTGGTTTGTAGCTCTTTGCCTCAGCTGAAAAAGTTTAATCCAGTTTCCACTTTAGGCACACAAAGTTGATGTAGGGAGGCTGAGAGAAGAAGATATAAAAAGTCAGAAGTTGTTTCTCTCTCTTACGTAAGCAGTTCAGCTGCTGGAAAGCCAGAAGCACAACACACTGCAAGCCTTGACCTTGGCAAACTGCTGATGGTAGAGCATTGCAGAGTTAGAGTTGTGCTGCTTGCTTAAGGTCACTGTTTATATAACTTTGCCAAGGTTTTTGTGTCTGTGAAAGGTGGGCAGAAGGGCAGAAAAACAGGAAAAAACACCAGAGATACAGGATCAGAAAAGCCAAAGGCACTGAGGATGTGGCTTCAAGAAATGCTGAGAGAAATAGAAACTAGAAGCTTTTGGGCCAAGTGCTGATTCTTTAGGGGATAGGAATTGTGAGTATCTCCTATCATTTCATGTCCTACTTCGTTTAGGGAAACAGGGCTTTGTATATTCTTTGGAAAGAAAAGAGTGGGAAGGAGGGAAAGGATAGCCTCAAATAAACACCTGATTCTGTCATCAGTTTCTCCTGTTATGGGAACAACCTGCTAACTAACCACTTGGTTTCATATCTCAAGGGTTGCTCAGAAGATGACTATGGCAATGATAACATCATCTACTTTTGTCCTCACAGCTGGCCCCAACAAATCACCTTTCAGGATCAAGTTGATGAAGGCTGAAGGATGCAACTGTAAATTACTGAATGGCGTGTAGGACAGGCGATCCAAGTTGATTAAGGTGTCTAAAGATTTTTATCCTTTCAAGTAAGTTGCCTGGTATTGAGTGGCTCCATCTGCAGGGCAGTGGCGGTGCCCTCAACTGGCTTTTGCTTACGGCAGGGGTTGGCAATATTTTCCCAAGGTGGGCTTTAATGACCCAGCTCACTGTGAAGGCAGGCTGATGCTAGGATCAACCTGTGGTACATTGCCAAAGACCCTCCTCAATTAACTGGAACCAAAGGCTCTGTGAGGTGGCGTCAACCTGCAGGTCACAGGTTCCTGACCCCTGTTTTATTGCATATTGTAGGATGGTCTTGGTGTTCTACGTCTTGTTTCTTGTAGCTGTGTGTGAAGGCTTAAAGTGGTGATTCTGGGGGAATACAGGGATAAACAATTTCCACCAAATGCAGGGAATTTGAGTCAGTGACCCAAGAGGTCCCTTCTTGTCCTGTGTTCCTGTCTGCTCTGGGAATTTGTGTATTAAATCAATCTCGGGTTTATTTTGGATTGTCGTCTGGGTTCTAAAGCTTTTGGTACTGATAATACTGATCTGTGCTTCCATCATTAGTTCCTTCTCCTAATGGAAACAGCTGAGTATTGACTGAGTTAAAAGGGGTCAAAGCACAAATTGCCTGATCTGTAAAATAAGGAAGTTCTATAGTCTGACAGTGGCAGTGTCAAACACTGATTAGAGACTACCTTAAACCGTACCAAAGTCTGGCAATGATATTCCAGGAAAAAATAATCCAAATAATGGATCTCATTCAAACTACTGAATTGTATGAGTTATCCAAGGCAAACTGTCTAGCTCCATCCTCTTTGGAATCACCCTTAGCTACCTGAAGGGGGTTTCCAAAGAGGATGGAGCTAGACTGTTCTCAGTGGTGACAGATGACAGAACAAGGAGCAATGGTCTCAAGTTGAAGCAAAGGAGATTTAGGTTGGATATTAGGAAAAACTTTTTTGTGAGGAGGGTAGTGAAGTGCTGGAACAGGTTACCTAGAAAGGCGGTGGAATCTCTGTCCTTGGAGGTTTTTAAAGCCCGGCTCAACAAAGCCCTGACTGGAATGACCTAGTTGCGGCTGGTCCTGCTTTAACCACGGGGTTGGACTAGATAGTTTCCTGAGATCCCTTCCAACCCTAGCTTTCTATGATTCTATGAACCTGTGCTCCCTGGATTGGTCCTCGACAGACAGCTCTCCTGGATAACTTCTTGGGAGAGGTATAAACCCCTGGTCTGAGCTAAGCAGGTAGAATGCTCCAATTGCATTCAATTTCCATTCGAGTTCGATTCCTTCTTTGGGTAAAGTTTCATTTTCCCAGTAGAAAAAACTGGGATTGTGATACTTAGTCATTTGGCAGGTCCATCAGGAGGCTTGGTCAGGTTAGAAAGTAAAGCAGGCTGTCTGCAGTAGTTCAGAATGTTTGTTGATAGTTCATGTCTTGAGTAACTTCCCTCTCTCCCTTTCTCTGCTGATCCTTCTCTCACTTGGGATGAAATGTTTTTTAATTCCAAAAGCTGGAAAAAAATCACCCATAAGCTGAGCTCTTGGTGTCGCTGTCCCCTAGCTTGGTACTTACTGCACCTTTAAGTGTATGTCTCATGGGGATGTGCAAATGTTTTACACATTTGTAACTCATTTATCAGTCACATTGCTGTAGGATATGTGACTGGACATTGTCTTGCTTTACATACAGTGATCTGGATGGATCTTGCCCTGTGCAGCATACATTTGATTCTATTTATTATTTATATGCACATTCCTCCAGCTGGTAACATATTATTATGGGATAAAAAGAAAAAAATGCAACCTAGCTTTTATTATTTTTTCCTTATGTTTCTTTGGTCCTATTTGGTCCTATCTAATCATTCTATAAATGCACAGGAGACACTGTCAAGGTCTTAATATTATAGTAGTATGGTACTCCTGTACCTCAGCCATTCATCTTCTGCCTTTAATTACAGAGACTGATCTGAGAAGCACTTAAAAGATTAAATTACTCAGTTCTTTGAAAAAATAAATGCAATCTGTATCTCTTTTCTGATCAATGTGAGTGATCGCTGAAAAAGGATGCCGAAGGCAAAATTTACAGTGATGATGGAGAGGTATTTATTTTAGTTTATTCCATTGTTCCCCGTTTAATTTTTCATTATCTGGCAATAATTGTTTTTATATTGATAACAACAGTGATTTCCTATAATAGCTTCTTTCAGCTGTCAGTATCAAAGTGATTTACAAAGTAAGATGAATGTCATTTGCTCAGCTCTTCACAAACATGAAAGTCAAGATATAGAATTATTCAACTTGCCCAAATGTATGGAGGGGCTTGATGGCAGGACAGGAAACACATTGTAGGCTTACTGAACCCTCTTCCTGTGTCCTACCTATGTCATAATGCTGCCTCCTCACAGCACACATTCCTCTGTTAGCATGCTTAGAGAGCTATAGAGTGTAGTAGGATAATAATCTGAAACCATAACATCATTTAAAATAAATTTAGAGCCACAGTCTGTGCAATTCATCAAACTGTCTAAGCCATGCATTAAAACATCCATGGTGGCACATTCTGCACCAGTATGGAGACCATTATTAATGCAAGGTCATTCCCACTCACTGCCGGGGAGCTGATTTTGTTGCTGAAAAGGTACAGAGTGCAAGAAGGGTAACAAGCCTGATTAGGTCCTTGAGGTTTAAGGCATGTGGCCCATTTTTCCAAGAGTGGCCTTTACAATTAACTCATATTGTTTCCATGAGACTTGGAGGGATTTTTCTGGTTTCTATGGAAATACTGTGCATTCAGAGGGAATATGGTCTTGTTTCTTTTATTTGATGCCTTAGCAGCTACTGCAGAGGAAGCAGTTCCCAGTGCAGTCTTCTGACTAAGGAGCCAGCATCTTTGTGACTATACACAAAGATTCAGGTCTGCCAGGGTGTAGCTTGGGAAACAGTTGTGAAGTTTGGTGTCTGCCAGGATTTGTTCCACACTCAGTGAACTGATAAAAATGTTGCTGCTGCTGGAGGCAATAATGCATATAACTTTGTTATCTCAGTCAGCAGCAATCTCTCCTAAAGTCTCTGAGTACCTATTTTTCAAACAGATAAGCCTGTTTTTCAAGCAGATTTTCAGTTATTTATATGGTCAACCGTTTCCCTCTGTCTGTATCATTGTTTGTCTATCTTTTGATGCCTGAACATGCCGGACATTTAGCAAAACACATTATTCGTCCTGTTTCATGGTGCTGGGGTTTCCATGGCAGATGCATTCAGCTGCTCTCCTTCTCCCAGATCAGCTTTGACCCAATTATATTTCTGTCCCCAAGGCTCTTTATAAGTGAAGTAGCCCTGAGACACGCCTTTCTTTGATTTCCAGGCCGCAAGTCAGGTACTTCAAGCCAAGTCTTTTTATCATTAAACTTCTCTTCCTGA